CATTTTAGGAGATCCCATTTACATTCAACGGAGAATATTTTATTTCGCTCCTGCGACCGTTATCCTCTTTCTTTCTTCTCCTTCAAAATAGCGAAGGTACATTTTTATTCTCCGGAGATCATGACAGATAACATGCAGCTGCCATCTGTGTAAGTACGTTAAAACTACTATAGTGTAAGAACGGCGTAACACACTCATAGTTAAGGCCACTGAAATACGTATTCATAAACCGTTTCGTATTATTTCTATACAGTTTATGAGTTGGTCTGTGCAATTTCTTTATGGTTTATGGTTTCCGCCGCAGTATATTTTTCAATTACGTACAGAAGTGGAAGATCTATTTTCAAAACCGTGCTATCTGAAGGGCAATAGTTCAACCCACTGCGTAACTCTAATGTAACACAGGTCAAAGTTAGAGAGAAAGCAGAAATATGAAAGAGTCATAGGAAAGTAAGGAATGGGAGTGAAGATTGGAGATACAAAGTAAAAAACACCCCACTGAATTTCAACGGGTTTCTTCCACCAGTAACAATAATTGCTGCGAATCTGACAAATGCACTTGGTAATTTACTCTATATATTTTCTAAAAAATACCTATTAATAATTGTTGCTCCTTGAATATTAAGGGGCACGCGATACCGTAGTCGGTTGAGGCACTATGCTACAAGCCAGAAGGTTGCGGTTTCGAATCCCGATGAGGTGGATGTTTTCAATTGACCTAATCCCTGAGGTCGACTCAGTCTCTAACGGAAATGAGAATCAAGAATCTTTCTGGGGGGGTAAAGGGCGGTCAGCGTGTAAGGCTGGCAACCTCACCGCCATCTGTGATCCGACTGTCTACAGGAAATGTGGGAACCTCGAAATCTCACAACCCTATCGGCCTCCACGACTTCTTATAGGGATTACTTTACCTTTGAATATTATGTTATTTAACTCATGGCTCTTTCAATTGACAGTCATTAGTTAAAATTATATTATATTTCAATATGTTAACAACTCCGAATTATGGAGAGGAAGTATATCAGGGCGAGTCGGTAATAAAACCTTTTCCTGATATCATAAGAGAGTAAAAACATCAACAATTTAGCTCACTATCTTCATCTTTTTAAATCATTCACTCATTCCACGTTAGACTTATAGGGCCATTAACAATATTGGAAAGTTATTCGTTGGTGAAGAAATTCCATGTCCTTATGTGAGCAGAGCATTCATCACGGTTTCACAAGTTCATCCCCTCAAATTCTAAAAATGTTAGGCCCGTTCTAATAGCATCTTCTGACCTATATCTGAATCTCACCTGCGGTGTTCTTTCCTTTCAGATATGCCTGTAGTTAACGGGTATAGGCACTTTGGCTTTCCCATTTGTATTACATGTATTCCTTACCTTGCCCTTCAAGGACGTGACTTTAATGATCAAGTTTTTTTATCACAATGAAATAATAATAAGAAATCCCTTTATTATTTCCATGAAATCTAATGATGTCTCTAAATTGTCCTTGTCCATAATTATCGTACCTATTGATTGTCCCTCGTAGAGTCGAAAAGCAGGGTAACCCGGGACCTGGTCATCTTCTTTAAGGGCGCGAATGTTCTCCAGTTCATGTCTCACTATGTACTGCTTCTCTGCCGTTGTAAGCAGGTCATCCACGTGCATCCCTTCCTCGAGGAAGTCGTCCAGCTGGCTGACGGTAAACTCTCTGATCAGACCGCATTTGTCACGTTTCCTCAACTCCAGTTCCTCTGCCACCTCCAGGAACTTGATTTTAGAGGCCGATACGTGGAGGGTCAAGCCCTGAAACACGTACATTATTTTATCTACCTCGCATCTTGCATCTCGTAGACTATTCAGCATAGGATAACTAGTATATATTGTGATATGTCTAACCGTTGCTGGGCAACGGGAGATGGAACGCGTTACCACGAAGACAGATCCTTGATAAACGGTCGGTTGCCAGGTTACGCAACAGTAAGGAAAGCGGTGTTTCTCCATGCCAAGCCGAGTAGAGCCGAAGCGAGCCGAGCCGAGCCGAGCCGAAGCACGCTGGTTGCTACGCAGCAATGAATAACTCTTGTCAGCTTTGCCCAGCAACACCTGTCAACACGGCGATTACGCAACAGGGAAACGAGGCGCGTTTTCCGTTGTCTGGCTGTAGCAGTCGCCGAGTTCAGATGTAGCGAGTGAATCGTGGACGTGAAGAATACCGGAACGTGTGATTAGAGGCGACAGCGTGAGAAGTTATTGGGAGTGTGTAATACAGTGACACTGGTATAGCTCCCATGTTGTACTGTGAATAAGTGAAGACCACTGAAGATAGAGTGAAGAGATTATTGTGTAGGGTGTATAAATTGTGTAAACCGGCAACTGTGTTATAAGAATTTGTAGTTACGACTTGTAGGTTGTTAAATAAACCAATTAACAAGCTGAACGACGTCTTCAGAGGCAAAATACGTTACAATATATACACTATGTATCGACACGAAAAAAGTATAAACGGGCTTTCTATTCAATTTGTAAACAATTATTTATAACAGAGAAATATACCGAATAAGAAGAACATGAGTATTACTGTTCTGTGAGGTGTAGACCTAACACCGCTCATAGTGCTGTATTTCTTTATTTCAGACGTACAGCTTTATAAGTGTGCACCAAGGTTTCGGAGGAACCTGTTGCCTCCATCTTAGATGTAGATAAATTACCTAAAGTAACAGTAAGTTGCTTAGTCCGTGAAACAGGGAAGGAAAATAGGACAGTGCATAAAGAAAGATAGTACTATGAACTGTAGATTACAGTTTTGTTTGATTCATTTAAGGCTTATTTAAAATGGCGTAATTTCATACTAGTATAAAATAGTTCTCTTAAATGTAAATGTACTGAATATCCAAACATTTTCGCTTATAGATTCTACCACGCGATTTTTTGATTGATGCATATGGACAAGAGAATATTCCTTAATAATATTTCGATAGATGAACAATTTTGTGGAAAATTCGATTTAAGTTGAATTATGTAGCAACACGGTACTTACTCACAGTTATATCATTTTTGACGAAAATTATGTATCCGTTAAAATTTTATCAAGGGATGATATCAGATCGTATGATGGGGATGGGAGTGACAAATTTTCGGACATATTTTATGCAAAAGATTTCAGTTACAACAATTTTCATACCGTCTCATATTGAGGTGGCTATTAGACGGGGTTTTGGATTGGTGAATTGGATTTACTGACACCATATACATTCATAGCTCGGGACTACAGATAATACAGCTCTAGCGCTGTTCTACACACTTTACAGTTCACCGTTACACACCCACAAGAGTTATCAGTCTTCACTAATCATCTCCTTACAGCGAATATATCGCAGTCTCACTGTAACTTCAAATGACACATGAAGTCTTCTTTTCACTGCCTAATTCCTTTCTTGTCATTATTCTGCAGCTACTAACTCAATTTAATTCCAAGCTCATATCCTGGCAGTCTGGCGTCTCGAACTCAACTCTTCACTCTCTACTACTGTTCTGTACTGCCGAACACTTCCTTATAACTACTTTGCACTGACCCCACAGAAAACACAGCCTCTATTGTTAACGAGGCATGTTTATAGAGCCGTTTCCTACCAAACAGTGTTCACGTTACAATACATTCATTTTCAAACAGACTTGAAATGTACTCATACTTTAAAATCGTGCCCCTCTGTCTGCTTGTATGTACATCACTCCGCATGTTTCATTTCATCATAACTTCCGCTGTTTAGTCCATCACCAAACAAGCGAGATGCATTTCTTTCAGCAGTCACTACTTGACCAGCTATAATAGTCGGCGGTTACATAATTTGGTCTTCAGATAGAAAGTAGAATCTGACAGACATTTCACATTTTCCAGTAATACTTACTGTTCCCACCATAACACTCCATTTTGTTTACCGTAGCCCCGAAAATTTGAAATCTTTCCTTATGCTAATAAAGAGCAGCATATTATTCTAAATGAACTCACGTCCAACAAACTGATGAAACCTTCATAATAATACAAATAGATTAACCGCTCAACCGAGATTTTACAGAATATTCACGCTATTGTCTTCAGCAAAGGTCTGGCTGCAATAATAGCTGAAGCGAAGTACTGCTCATTAGTAGCACCCGTAAATACTAACACAACTGGCTACTACACGACAACAGGGACTGTTACGTAAAACAGAATAACGTCAAAATGGCAAGCCTTAGGCTTCTTTACATTTAGACGCTTGATATCCGGTTTACTTAAAGCAAAGATAAACAAGAAGTTCTGATCTACTATAGCTACGTGCCAATTGAAACTGGTACTTGCCTCCCCATCGTGATGAGGTTGTTTTCTTACAAGTAGCTCAGCTCCACCGTCCAGCCGTTTCCCACATATTTTGTCTACCAGCCACACTAATGCAGTGGTCCGTATGTGTCTGGAGAACTGGATAACAATGTACGTCGGTGGGAATACGGCTGTTGTCTCTTCTGTGGAGTCATTCGGACTGGCGGACATGTCTCCGCCTGACTGCGGCCGTGCTCTTCTTAGCCGCCCTGAACAAATTGAAACAAACCACGTTACGAAGCCAAGTTCTACAAGAGTATTCCTCTGTGGCTTCATCACAGAGACCAAGCTCCGCAACACACAGTTAGTTTAAAGAAAATATCATATTTCATTTAAATGTAGTTTTTTTTTTAATAATTACCTTGAATAAAGAGATTTGTTGCATAACTAAACTGATGAGGAGATTGTAAAATAATGCAATACCCTCTTGAAAGGCGCGTTTCCGAGAAGGAATTATAAGTGACACGATAATAACATTAATATTCAAATGACTTGTAAGGAAATGAAGTGTAGCTAATGTGAGGATAGGCAATCATATCCTGTAGTTCCGATGGTCAGTTATTGAGGATAAACTGTATATTTAAGACCACAACTAACTCTTTCCTTATCACAAACAAACTTTACATTCACATGCAACTATTCACTGTTAGGTGATACCTAACCAAATATTCGAGAAGTCAAAACTATATACTGACTGAATAAACAATCCGTGTTAAACCTGGGGTATTCACTGTTATTACACACGCCAAAAGGAAATTGTATACATAAATCATTTACCATATTCCTCAAATTTGTATTGATACAGAGAAATCCACCAAAAAACTAAAAAATACGTGGCTTCAATGGAGTCTAAGCTCAACCAAAAATCTTATTTTCTTGTTTTTCTTGATGGAAATAATTGGATTAAATAATTTAAGTAACTGTTTTTATGTAGGTAGGCCTATTGTGATTGAGAGTAAAAGGCTTCTGCAGCAGAATTCACTACGCTGCAACTGAGTGTACACTTACATACATTTAGACCTATAAGTTCAGGTGGGAGGAAGCTCGGCTTACTTATTATAGATAGTAAGATACTTCGGTCATCTTCAGGTGTGCTCGGGATAAGTTGTTTATTGTTGTAAATACAAGTACTACAATGTATACACATTGTCACTTATATTAAATTGTCTCCCAAACCGAAGGTCTATGGAAAGTACGTTCAATATATAATATATATGAGTATATATATATATTTTCCAAATATTTTGTTTTCCGATAATTTTTTTACTTATGCTCGAAATCCGCGCAAGTTTTCGTATTAAACATCCGTTACTTTTTTTTTCCGAATTGAACAGAAGTTGGAAGTGCCCGACAGGTTCTAGTAAAACTCCCTAGTAATATAAAATGAAACAAATATTAGAAGAATGCAGTCTCCTGGGATGCGACGCCGTGTAGATCTTGTTTTGGAGGAACGTTTCGCTTCCATCTTCAGGGCAGAAAATTTAGCGAGCAAGGAACTAGCTCAGTCTGCAGCCATCTGCTCACACTGGTTCTTGCTCGCGAAATCTTCTACCTTGAATATGGAGGCGATACATTCCTTCGAAACGTCGGTTCATACAAGATGTGCACGATGTCACATCCCAGAAGAAGGCATTCTTAGTAGACACCGCTCTGAAAACCTCAAGTCTTAAATAATACATATTCGTTCATTGGTTCTCGAATTGGATCATGCACACATAGGGACAGAAAGACAGATAGCAGGAGCGATTGTAATTTGAGTTCCGTAGGGTTGCGAACTTGCCTAAGAATTGACCTACTAATATTTTTCTGACTAATAAATATTTATCGCCCATCTGTTGATGAAACTAATTATTCGACTCTCAGGTTAATTACGACATCCATAATGATTTACAATGCTTTGTAAATCGTTATAATTTCAGAGGAAAATATTCTTGAGTTCATTTAGGGATGGGCTGTTTGTACTTCAGGCTTAAACATGATCATTCTCTCTAAGCGAGCCAGTGACGTCACAACCATCACCACGTGTTATTATCTTCCGAGATGTCACGCCGTGTTTACCGTATTTAGGAGGAATGTGCTCCCTCTACCTTCTTGGTCACTTCTTGAGGGACTGAGAAAGAACACGACATACTAAATAAGAAGAAAGGAAAAAGAGAGACAGAAAGAAAGAAAGAAAGAAAGAAAGAAAGAAAGAACGAAAAAACGAAAAAAAAACGTTAAAAAGGAAGAAAGGACAAAGTGTGGATTGGCTTTTCTCGATTGCCCATATTCTTCAACCCCTGAAAGCTGCATATTCAGTACCGTGTTCACAAGAGCTTTCCATTGGTCCCTATCCTGAGTCAGATCAATCTAGCCCTCCCCCCCATCCCATCATATATCTGTAAGATCCATTTTAATATTAACTTCCCACTTACGCCTAGGTCTTCCCAGTGACCTCATTCTTTCTACCTTTCCCACTAAAATACTATATTAATTCTTCTCCTCCCCTATGCCTGCTATATTCCCTGCCCATCCCATACTCCTTTACTTCATCATTCTAATTCTACTTGGCGAAGAGTAAAAGTTATCAAGTACCTCATTATGCAGTTTTCTCGAATCTATCATTTCATCCCTCTTGGGTCGAAATATTTTCTTCAGCACCTCGTTCTCAAACGCCCTCAGTCTGTGTTCTCCCCTTAACGTTAGAGTTCAATTTCCACAACTATAAACAGCAACAGGCAAAATGATGGTTTCGTGTATTCTGATTATTACGAGTATAGACGGCAGAAAAGAAGACAAGATTTCCGGACTGAAATGTAGCAATTATTACCCGAATCCAGTCTTCTCTTGATTTCCTCCTAAATCAACATTTGATCTGTTAGTATAGCTACCAAATATTTTGAATGTCCCACATTTTTAAAGCCTCTCTTTATGTTACAATTTTCCCTGCACTCTGGTGACAAGACAAGAACACACTTAGTTTTCTCTGCATTTTCTTCTATACCAACTTCCTCATTAGCGTCAACTTGTACTTCTTTTCTTTATGGTAGTTATGTTGTCTACCCATAGGTTTATGGGGCAAGGTTGGGGTGCTATGCTACAAGCCGGAAGGTCGCGGGTTCAAATCCCGATGAGGTCATTGGATATTTTTTCAGTTTACCTAATCCTTCCAGCTGCACTAGGCCCTGGGGTTTACTCAGCCTCTAACAGAAATGAGTACCAGGAATTAATTAAATAATTTTCCTGAGGAGTAAAGTGCGGCCGGCGCGTAAGGCTGACAACCTTACCGTCATCTTTGAGCCGATTGTCTAGATAATGTGGGACCCTCAACGTATCACAACCCTATGGGCCTTCACGGCCTGGTACAGGGATAGCTTTACTTTTACTTTACTTTACTTTACTTTACCCGTAGGTTTATATCATGAACATATGTTATGATATGTTCTTTCTAATTTCAGTCCCACCTGGTATTCCTGGATCTTCCTAATGACATATCCTAAACAAAGTTGAAAAGCAGTGGCGATAAAGCATCTCCTTGTTTTAGAGCATTCCGGATAGGAAAATTATTATATAAATGTTTACCTGTACGGACATTATTATACGTTTCTCTCAAACACATTTTAATCAACCTAACTAGTTTCCTGTGTACCCCAAACTCTATAAGAATATTGTACAGAAATTCTCTCATAACCGAATCATAGGCTCTTTTGAAGCCTACGAATAGACGATGTAATCTTTTAATGTAATTTCTTTTTTTCCCCAGTATCTGACGACTGCAAGCGAATGTTTAGTAATTGATTTCTTAGGTCGAAACTATCATTGATGATCCTTCATAATTTAATCTGTATATTGACCTAACCTTGAGAGCAGAATATGGGAAAAAATTTTGTATGAAGTTGATTACACTGATATCCCTCGATATTTACTACAGCCAGTTTTATCGCCCCTGTGAACTTGTGCGAAAATAGTCTGTTTCCGCTAAGCAGGCAATTCTTCCTTATTCCAAATAGAATTAATGAGTTTATGGATCTCACACCGCAATTTTTCACCTCCTGCTTCAATCAGCTCTGCCGGAATTTGTTCCTTACTTGACGATTTCTATTTTTCAACTTAGAAACAGTAATTTTGACCTCTAAAGTAATAGGCCAAGGAACTAACGGCTGAGCGGTATGTATTTCTATCTGTCTGACATCACTGACCCTTTGTACATTCAATAACTGAGAGAAGTAGTTCTTCCACCTATTCAAAACGCTGTGGGAATCTGCAAGCAGATCACCATTCTCATCCTTCACTAATTTACTGCTATAGGCCGCGCCATAGCTCAAGCGGCTAGTCGCTGGCTTTCCACCGCGGCGACCCGGGTTCGATCCCGGGTCTGGTCAAGTGGAATTTGTGGTGGGCAAAGTGGCACTGGGGTATGTTTTCTCCGAGTACTTTTGTTTCCCCTGCCAATCTTCATTCCACCAATTGCTCAACAATCACCCTCACCTATCATCTGGGGCTGGTACAATAGGCCAGAAGTGGCGGTAGTACAAGGGACTTAGTCTCACACAACTAGCATTAAAAAAAGTTACTGCTAGGCTGGTAACCTTTCTTAAAGTAATTTATTCCTCTGTACATATCTCTAATGTTCTTGTTCCTGCTGTGAGCTACAAGCTCATTAATTTTGTCTCTCAGATATTTACCCTTCTTATTCTAAATGCCTCTCGAATTCGTGTTTCCTACTGTCCAGGTTGTTCTCAATTATTTTGATTGGATTCTGTAACCACTGCAATTTGGCTTGTTTAATTTGATCTTATACTTTAATCATCCTTCGTCGAATTATGGCTTACGCTTCTTCAATTCGTAAAAACCAAATTTATATTAAACCACACTGAACCTAAAACACGAGGAGGAACAGACTGTCTGACATGACCCACTTCCCCCTGAATTATACCCCCACATCTTGTAAATAAAGTAGAATATTTTTATATATTTGTACAGATTATAAGCTAGTTTTAGTTGCATAGAAATTTCACATCATAATAATATATGTTGTTCATTCAAAACGAAAGTTTACTTCGTTATGCACGGAAACGTAAGAGAAGGACTGGCTAAGTGTTTTGTAATCAGACACTGGTAGTCATAATGGATGTCAATTCAAGGCATGTCAAGACCACATATGTAGTCATCATTATTGATCTAATGTGGTAAAAATATCTTCACATTTTTTTTATATGCAGTTTAACTTGCAAAATAATTTAATTACTTTTTACCCATAAAGAATGAAGGAGGCTTTTTTCCGAGTTTATGTCTATGATTCTATTTGCAATTCAACATTTTAAGTTATATGAATTTTAATTGATTATTATTCCACTAACAAGATATTCGCAGGAGGTAATATTTTAATCGAATGCTTATTCCAATCCTGTTTATTTATCAAAAGGTTTCCAAGAAATTATTATGCTTTCACAGATACAAGTATATATTAACTTTGATGAATATCTTTGTGAATGTAGATGGCGACCAGAGTAACTGGTATCGCCATTGTGTTTGCAAACAAGATTATTAAATATTTTCTACAAATTTATCTCCTAAGCCACATTGTCATAAATCAGAGGTAAAAAAGTGGGTAAGTAACAGGATGTGGAGGCCCATTGGCTGCCAGACGTTGATGTTCCCGCATTTTGTAAACAATCAGCTCACAAATTGCAATGAAGTTGTCAGCCTTGCGCGCCGGCTGCCCTTATCCCAAGGAAAATTCCTGGTACTTATTTCTGCTAGAGGCTGAGTCGACCCCAGGGCCATAGTGCGGCTGGAAGGATCAGGTCAATGAAATCATCGCGAATCGAACCCGAGACTTTCTGGCTTGTAGCAACTACGCTATGGCGCACCCCCGTGAAACAGTAGTAGACTGTCTATATGCTACCTTCGGATTTTATTAAAGTGTTTCACAGCCATTCAAATGCTCCTAACACTCGTCTTCTACTTGTCACGTTTTTCAGGGTACATTGTTCCTACTATCAATCCTTAAATTTCCAGGTCTGCTATACGAAATAAATGTGGATAATTCTGTATCTAGAATGGAAAAAATATATTATCGGTAATACCACAGAATAGGGGCACGCGGTAGCGTAGTTGGCTGAGGCACTATGCTGCAAGCATGAGGTCATTGGATTTTTCAATTTACCAAATCCTTCCAGCCGCACTATGGCCCTAGGGTCGACTCAGCCTCTAACAGAAATGAGTACCTGGAATATTCTTGGAATGTTCTTGGGGGTGAAGGGCCGCCGGAGCTTAAGGCTCACAACCTTACCGCCATTTATGAGCTGACTGTCTAGGAAATGTGGGAACCTCAACATCTCAAAACCTTATGGGCATCCACGACCTGTTACAGGGATATCTTTACTTTCTTACAACAGAATAACTTTATGGCCTCATATGTTCATAAACTGCCGAATAACAGCAGTATACTGCTGTTATTCTCTGTGGCTTAGTTTACGACAGTGTCAGAAGGTTGGTTGTAAAGGGTCTACTAATAGTGGTAGAGCAGATGACAAATGATGAAAGGGAAGGTTTTGGAAGAAAGTTGCAATTGCCTAATCGAGGTGCTAACCAGATTTTTTTTTTCTGGCGAGAATGAGGAAAACCGAGCATTCGAATGCGAATCCAGAGCGTTACAGCTACTCCGATCTGCTGTCTGAAAAGTAAGGCGTGCCTCTTACTTTCCTCCACACATTTCGCAGTCAAAATACGCAAGTCGTAAGTCAGTAATGAGCTGTAAATGTTCGGCCACACAGAGCGCTACGCTATGTTCGCTACGTACGCTGTGTACACTCGGCGACGCAGCTGACATAGGGAACATAGCGTACGTAGCGTACGGAAGTCTGTGTGGCTAGTCACATTGGCAATAAAGGGAGATATTTTTCTGTTCGTATAGAGAACATAACGTACGTAGCGCTCTGTGTGGCCGAACCTTGAGAACCACTCGTCGTAGGTAGATCATACGTGGTATAAATGTTCTATCGTGTAGCAGCATACTTTGAAGCAGAAGCTTCTGCGCTGGCTAGCTTCATGTTAGTGTAGACCAGTGGTGTGGCCGCGGCCCGGTAAGTTCTCTTTTTATAAGATGAGTGCTCGGTGTAACTGATGCCAGAGCCCGGTACTGGGTCGCGGCCCGGCGGTTGAGAAACAGTGTTGTAGACTAGTATCTTTTAGCAGTTATGCGCTAACTCTTGCAGAATTATACTAATGAATTACGCAGAAAACTCGAAGGAGAAGAAGGGAATCTGTTTAGAATGAAGTTTTTAGTTGCCTGTGCAGTGTTCCTTACGTGTTGCAAAGAACAGCTCATGAGAATTTCCTGTCCGTTTGTCAGGCAATATTTTCCTCGCTCAGTTCAGTCAGCATAGGGGATCTGACTCCCAACAGAGGCAAGGGATCTTCCTCTTCTTCACAGATTTCAGAGCGAATCTGGGGCCCACCCAACCTCCTATCAAGTGGGTACCAGGGGGTTCTTTTCCCGGGGGGTGAAACGACGGGGGCGTGAAATTCATCACTCGCCTCCACTTATTGCAGAGTCAAGAATTGTGGAGCTATACCTCCATTCCCCATACACCTTCATGGCGTGGTGTTTAATTAATTAAACATGGGGACAACTTTACCTATGACACTAAATCATGCGATGTGAGTGCGAGAGTCAATGGAAATATTTTCCCTTTTCCTAAGCATCAAGTGGAGGCATTCTAGATCTCAGCATCAGAGAAATGTTCCGACCATTTTGTTCCAGGATTAACAGCTCTCAGTACCCACTGTGTGTTCCTTAGAGACGGTATGCACTTGACAGTCCCATCGTGGCGACTCTGGTTCGACCCTGCGTCAGATGATGTGAGTTTTGTGGTGGGTGAAGAGGCAATCGGTAGGTTTTCTCTAAGTGCTTTAGTTTCCCTTGCCAATTTTCATTCTTACGAAAACTCCACACTCATCCAGGGCTGGTAAATTTGGACCATTACCGGTCGATATGCCAAATGGACTCAGTCTGACTCCAGCCCACCAAACAAAGAGCATCTGGATAGAGACGCCAAAGTTCCTTCTCTTACAGGGAACTGCATCCTAGTAGTGCAGCCTGCAGATGGTCACTTTATTTACTCTCTCGTATGTCGTCGTAACTGACATAAAGCAACGATTTTCATTTAATTAATAATTGCATCTTAAGATGTAAGTGATTTGTGTAGTTAGTGGGTCTGGAACGGGGTCCACTCAGCCACGCGAGGATAACTGATGACCTATTTCAAGGAAATAGCGGCTCCGGTCCAGAAAACCGTAATTAACAGCCGTAGGGATTCGTTGCGCTGACCACGCGACAGCCTCTATCCGCTAAAGTTGGCACTGCTTCGCCGACAAGCGGCGGTCGCTCGGTCGACATAGTTCGCTTGCGGGCTAAAACCACGGAGTTTGTTTTACTTGTAGTTAGTGAGCCATATTATACACAAATGCATGTTGTTTTTATTATTACATGTATATCTTTGTGTTTGTTGATATAACGTTGATGAAAATATGCAATCCTGCAAAGTATGTACTGCTGTATGGCCTGATAAACATGGATCCGAATGAAGAGCTCTATTTTCTGTGATATTACGCCGTGTAGTTCGCTGAAAGTTAATCTACGTTCGGAGGGACATATCGCCTCTATCTTCAGGGTAGAACATGGTGGCGATACGTTCTTCCGAAACGTAGATTGACTTCCAACATACTACAATATACGGCGTTATATCAAAGAAAATAGTGCTCTTCATAACCATCGCTTTGAGAACCTCAAATCCTATGTGGATCTGCATGGTCCATGTTTCAACAAATAATTGTAATCTATATAAACTGTATAGCTTATAGCGGACACTTGTGAACCCGGTTCCATAAAATGCTGAGAAATTCTTCAGTAGCTGAGCGATTGGTGACTTTTCAAGAAGCACTCAGCTTGATGGACTCTGTTATGTTGGAGGGACAAGTAGAAAACCTTACACAGAATCAGAAGCTTCAGTACTAATGATATATTCTAATATCTTACCATGTATGCTGATGAGTTTGCTGTGGATATTCCATTGTTCATCTGCTCGTGATTGGAATTTGTGGATATCAGAAGGCAGAGATGAAAAACGTCGGATGACGCTTGGCATCGTGTCAGTCACCAGATGGCCAGACGATCGAGGGAATCCTAGTAATCACACTTAACCTCTAGCAAGTAGAGGCTGTAACGTGCAATGGCTGTGCAGGATTAGTCAACAGAACACAACACACCACTCCACACCAAATGCAGTATTACGAAGGACAGTCAGTAAACAGATCACAAATGGAAGTAATATATCTGTAATGGGCGTAATACTTTTTCTATGTGTACAGCTAGGTAGCAGCACAATCGAGCTTCATGAGAGTCTAGATAGCAGACTCACATGAGCATGTTCAGAGGTTGGTCTCAGTAGTTAAAATGGCGACCGTGTTTGAGCGGTGTCGTACAGAAAAGCAGCGTTCTGTTGTGCGTTTTATTTGTTCGCAAAAAGACTCAATGCGAAGAATATTCGTAAAGAAATATTTCGTGTTTACGGTTGGAAGTGTTTGTCGCGTAAAGAGGTTCACAACTAGGTTGAGAAATTCCCTCGAAGACATTGAAAGTCACAGGTAACGCCCGACCAGGTGCGGAAGTGGCTGAGACAACAGTCAAAAAACTTCTATGCCGCGGGTTTCGACGCACTGGTAAAGCGATGGGACAAGTGTATCATTGTTGGTGGAGTATATGTCGAGGAATAATTTTTTTTTCAGGTTCGAATATCACATATTTTACGTTTCACATCCACTTGTGACCTACTTACTAACTCTCCCTCGTATACACACCTACAAGTACTATTGAGGGCATAGACACAAAATAGGCAAATTGTAACACATGCTGTAGCAATATTTTGAAGTTATTCTTCCACATTTATTCGTGTCAAACTCATGTTAATGAATGTGAGTAACAAGATTTACAATTCCATCATTTTTACCTCCACAGGCAGTACACCAAACCAAACACCCAGTGATTAATGAAAAACTCGTAGCGGTGGTGTAAATGAACTGCAAAATTTATCTCGGTAATGGCAAATAAAGCTATGCTGGAACGCCGTCTTCTGGGATGTGGCACCGTGTAGACCTTGTGTGAACTGACGTTTTGGAGGAATGTATTCATCTTCAGGGCACAAAAATTTGCGAGCGAAGAACCAGCGTGATCAGGGGGCTGCAACCACTTACTCTTATTCACACTAGATCTACACGGCGCCAAATTCCTGGAGAAGGAATTCTTCATGGTCACCGCTGTGGAAACCTCAAACCTTACAAAATTATACAAGCCGGAATGTTGCAGTTTCGATTCCCGATAAGGATTTGGATTCTTTATTTAGCCTAATCCTTCCAGCTCTACTATGACACTAGATCCGACTTAGCCTCTAACAAAAATGAGCACCCGGAATCTTCACGGGAGGTAAAGGACGGCCGGAATATGAGGCTGAAAATCTCACGGACATGTGGGAGCCGATTGTTTAGAAAATGTTGGAAACTCGATGTCTAACAACCCTGTGGGACACCATGGCTTGTTACAGGGATAGCTTTATCTTTACCTATAATCAGAAATAAAAAGAAGAGCAAAATTCTCCTGGATTACAGCGCAGAGATAAGCGTTATTAATTCTAAAATATTTATCGAATGAGATTTTAGGTTCTCACGACAGTGACTATATAAGATAACCTTCTTTCTTAGATAGAGCGCCGTGTACTCTGGTAGGTATTTACCAGGCGCTTCGGAAGAACAAAATGCTTCCATCTTTATGGTAGAACAGTAAGTCGAGCGTGGAATGTTATATGAATATAGAGTGAAGGAATACTGGAACAGGACCGCGCCATAGCTCAAGCCGTTAGTCGCTGGCTTCCTACCGCGGCGGCCCGGGTTCCATCCCTGGTTTGGTCAAGTGGGATTTGTGGTGAACAAAGTGTCGCGGGAACAGGTTTTCTCCGAGTACTTCGGTTTCCCCTGCCAATCTTCATTCCACCAATTGCTCCACAATCACCCTCACCTATCATCTGGGGCTGGTACAATAGTCCAGAAGTGGCCGCAGTACAAGGGACTCAGTCCCACCCCACTAGCAATAAAAAAATACTGGAACACCAGCCCCTTTGGCGACACTGCCCCTTTAAGACATGGGAACTGCCCTTATTCGTGCCCTTTCCTCATCCGTCTTTCTATGCCAGTCTCATTTACTTTAGCCTGTCTCTCCCTCGACTCATCACATTCTGTTTTCCCCTCACACTATGGGCTCGACGGCCGAGGAATTGGGGTTTGGTTTCTGGCAGGGACAAGAGGGTTTTCTCTACGGCATTAACTTTGATTTCGAAAGCGTCTCAGACGTCGATGCGCAGAACCGAAATGCTGGCGTGACGGAACAGATGTCGTAATGCAGGGTACGGACAACAGCGAAGAGCAATCCTACTAGCTTTGTCTTTCTCGCACCCTCCCCTCTCGCTCACGTAGCCACGGTTCTTGTTAATTTCATTTGTCTCTATCAGGTGTAGGGGACTTCCTCCAAGGACAAAGCGACCGAGGCGCGAAGCTCACTGCTCACCTCCATCCAGTACCGACGTTAAGAATGGTGGAGCCATGCCTCCAATCCTTCATACGTCTTCATGGCGTGATGCTATAGTAAGCAAAATTGCAACTCTTCCCTCCTTATCAGTCACTTTTACTGTTGGATCTTTTCATCCATACACCCTGCCCTTGAAATAAACCGTTTAGGCCACCATCTCTCCTGGCTTTCTTCTACCTCGATGAGTTCGCTCAGAGCCATTGTCTTTCTAAGCTCGTAAAATGACAATTTTAAGGACCCCACACTCATTCGCAGTTCTCCCCACTCCTATTAGTTCGCTCAAGGCCCTAGTCCCTGTACCCCTTCCCATATGCATACGAATTTCCCCACGGCCAACTTAATCTTCTAACCTGAATATGGATAAACATACCCTTCCTAAACGTCGGTAAATATGTAAGGGACTACACAGCGTTATATAAAAACAGTAATTTTTAACTTTTATCGCATTTTGGAAGTCTTTAATTAATCTCCAAATATATTTTTGTATATGATATTTATTTCCACGTGTCTTCAATTATTTCCTGAAAGTCTTCTGGATTTTGCGAAGATTTAACTAGGAAACAGAAATATTTAACATAAAATTATAGACGTTCCTTACGAATTTCGTAGGGAATCAAACTTATTTGCGGAAATATATGAAGGAAAAATTTTATTATAGAATCGTATGAGTAATATATAATTATGAAGAAAGTTGTCTTCTGGGTTTAGGCACCGTGTATTCTTCGTTTTGGCCTCCATCTTCAGAGCTCTGAAGATGGAGGCGCTACGTTCCTCCGANAAGGTTCATTATCCTCTTCATGCGAGTCCACTGCTACGCTCTATTCTGAGTCACATCAATCTGTTTTATTACGTCATGATATAATCTTTTACGATACATTTTAATATTATTTTCTTCCTTATGCTATGGCGTCCTTAGCTTTGCACGCATTTCCTACGTCTTGCATGCATATTCGGTATTTCAGCCATTTCATCTTCCTAGAACTGATCAAGGAAATATTATTTGGTTAAGAGAACAAATTATGAATCTCATTTTTTAAATTTTTCCCCACTCTTATTCCCTTACGAAATAATGTAATGATGTTGAACCCACACGCAATTTAATACTTTTTTATTACAGCACAGGAATTCTTAAACCATTGTGCTCTCTTATACTGGAAAGGCGAATTCAAATTTGTCAGATATTCCTTCGCGCCTTTCCTACCTTTCGTCACACGTGCATAATTAATAAACTGATTATCTATCAAGAAGTGACTTCGGTGACAAAGAACTACGTTACGAGGAAAGGTAAAATTGGGCCGCGCCATAGCTCAAGCGGTTAGTCGCTGGCTTCCAACCGCGGCGGCCCGGGTTCGATCCCGGGTTTGGTCAAGTGGGATTTGTGGTGGACAAAGTGGCGCTGGAGCGGGTTTTCTCCGAGTACTTCAGTTTTCTCTGCCAATCTTCATTCTGCCAAATTTTCCATCATCATAATACCCATGGCGGGCTACAATAAACCAATCAGTGGCCGCCGTGCCGAGTGGACCCAGTTGGACTCCACCCTCCACTAAGCGAAAAAATGGTAAAGATGCTGTTGTCCTTAAGTGGTACGATATGAAAACTTAAGGGATGAGTGTCATAAAGTTCAACTCATAAACATCTGCATTAGATGAAAACTGAATCAGTCTTGACACAGTGCTTGAAATGTTACAGACGAAATTGAAAATTAGAGGTAAATTTCGATAGAATTTTTGTACTGAATGGAGGCAGGTACCAAAGAAAGCACTGGAACACATATCACTGGAGTGAAAAAATCCTGAACTCTTCAAGATAACATGAAGAGACTATAAACCTAAAAGTTTTAGAAACAGACTACTAATCCTTATTTTCTGCGTCCTGCTGTGTATCCTACATCAAAATTAATATTCAGGGGCCGTGAGCGCAACAATTGATTATAAACCGATATTAAAATATTTAATATTAGGATTAATTTATTTTTATCCCACTGCATATTCCGGTCTGTCAAGAACATCCCTCTTATGGCTTTCACGAATTACATATGTCGTTATAGAATTATTAAAATGGACCAATTTTTATGTTTATCAGTAACTTTATGAAAAGGCGAGGGTGTCCGTGTAACAGGCCGTGGAGGCCCATAGGGTTGTCAGATGTTCACGTTCCCACATTTTCTAGACAATCGGCTCACAGATGGCGGTGAGGTTGTCAGTCTTACTCGCCGGCCGCATTTTACCCCCAGGCATATTCCTGGTATTCATTTCTATTAGAGGATGAGTCGACCCCAGGGCCACGGTGCTGCTGGAAGAATTAGGTAAATTGAAATAATCTACCTAATCGGGATTCGATCCCGCGACCTTCCGTCTTGTAGCATAGTTCCTCAACCAACTTCGCTACCGCGTGCCCCTCACTAACTTTATAATATAAATTTTAGTTTTAATTGTAAGTTTTGTGTGAGTTATATCTCGAGTAACATATTCTGAAAGTTAAGAGTCCTAAAAGTTATAACCTAGTTGTTAAACAAAATTAGATAAAAATGGAATTATAATTGTTTTAAATATTTGAAATGCGGTGATTATATTTTGGGTATTAGTTATTAGATCGTATACGTGGATTTCAGTTATCTCCCGACCCTCAATCACACACTAGATCCACCATAAAATCCACCCGACAGCCCATACCACAGCTGTGAAACACATACAGAATAGCTTCGTATACACACACCAATATATGTTTAGTACGTACTGCAACTTTATAAGATCAAAACCACATTTTAGCCTATAGTATCATCAGCTCCGTACGCAGACCAGTTCCTTAGAACAAAAAGAACGTTTTCGCATGCCTAATGAACACCAAAAACCACGAAGCCCATCTACATTATCTAATAACCAACACCCCAAACCCCCCCTCCCAATTTCATTTGTTAAAAAAAATATAATTTCACTTTTATCTAATTTTATTTAACCTTTAGGTTTTAACTTTTAACACAATTAACTTTTAGCATACATTACTCGAGACATAAACCACACAAAACTTAAAATTAAAATTTATATTACTCGTATAATACATGTATCTGATAAACATAACAAATGGATCCATTTTAATAATTCAATAACGACATATGTAATACATAAAGACCACCAGAGGAAAGTCTTGACAGACCGAAACATGTGTGTGATAAAAAGAAATTAACTCTTAATATTAAATATTTGAATATCGGTTTATAATCAATTGTTGCGTTCACGGCCCCTGAATATACTTCGATACAGCCTTCTAAGTCTACTCCAATACAGTTCATGACGATGACTGTAATGACAGTGATGATGAATTTTATATATCATATCCTTATACCCAAGGGCGGTAGAGGCCTAGCGACGAGCTGATCACCCGCCCAAGGAGTCCTACCGTATGTGTAAGATCGAGAAAAACCGAAGTGAACGGAGTTCATGGAGGTGGGCCTAGGCCCACTGAGGCTGTAGTGCCAAGGAAAAAAAAATACCCAAGGGTTCAATTCCCTATGAGGTCAACTGGATTTTTCAATTGACCTAATCCTTCCAGCCGCACTACGGCCCTGGGGTCGTCTCAGCCCCTGATAGAAATCAGTACCAGAAATCTTCCCGGGGGTTAAAAGGTGACCACACTTAAGGCTGACAAACTCACCGTCATCTGTAAGCCTACTGTCTACAGAAAATCTGGGAGCCCCAGCGTCTCACAACCCTATAGGTCTCCACGGCCGGTTACAGGGACAGCTTTACCTTGTTTACATTTTTAACATCATTATAGCAAGGTCTGTATATTTTGGATTACATCTGTAACGAATGAGATTTGTTTATCTTAAATTACGTGTTCTAAAGTTTTCAGCTGTGAAAAGAAATGTTGACAAACCTTACACTATTTATTCTGAGAGTCCCTCTGAACGCCAAGACATATGTATGGTAAACTGAAGGTTAAAAATAGTATTTACTGTACTGTTTCTTTGCTAGAGTGGTTCACCCAACGTTTCAATGGGGCAGACTATGTTTCCATGCTACTTTATAGTTGGAGAATGTCCAGAAAATGAAGTGCTTCGAGTGGATATTATACAAAATGACCACGGCAAGTCGAGCTGTTTCTAGATAATTGCAATTTCTGCAACTATATCTTGTTTTTAAGAATACTTTTAAGAACATTTACATCTTCTGGGATATAACGCGATGTAGCATAATTTCTTTGATGCCTCTTTCATGATGGTTTCATGCTTCGCTTAATATTAAACCCCAAAGATGGAGGCGATAAGTTTCTCTGAAACATCGGCTGACTTTCAACGGACTACATATCCCGGAAGTAGAAATCTTCATAACCACAGTTCTGAGAATCTGAAGATCTACCTGTTTTACTTTTCAATTTGATGATGAAATAATGATGAGGGTTTTATTTAATTTTCACTGCTCCCAGTCATCGAGGTGCATAGCAGAAACATGTGTGCCGCGTATACACAAGTTTGATGTCGCTATATTGCCTGTCCTATTATGGAGGTACGAATCCTGTGAAGAGTACCAACTGTTCTGAGGAAAGATTTTAGTGTTGATCTCGGTCTCCAAATTTGGGTCAGCAAAGGATATCCAGTTCTCCCCACCACATTTATAATTATTATTACATTAATTTTGACTTTATTATTTTATGTGGTTTTCTTCATACACTGCCGATTTATAACGAGAAGCGTTGCTAAACAATTCAGAAATAATTTCTCCACTTGTCACTTCCTTTTCACAACCACTCCCATCAAACAGAATCCCAGCGGTTAGGTGCAGTAGCTTTAAACATCCCAACTTAAGTCATTTAGCAATACATTTTAACGCACTTCATACAAACTGTCACGTGAAATGAAAAAAAAAATTATATATATATATATGATGAGTAGCGAATATAGTTGAACGCCGAAGGAGAAGAAATATCCTACTGTAAATTGCTGTTCTGGTAGTCCCTTGGATGATTAAGGTAAAACATAAAAAAACATCAGGGTAGCAGGTGATGCAGCTAAGTTTTGAACCAGATACGACTGGGAAGCTGGACTGAAGAAAGAGTACATAAAAACAAAATGATCACAAAAATATTTGGATATAAAGAGGTTTGGGGAAATTTCTGTAAACATGAACTCAGTGATTAGTAAATGGCAACTGGATCGAGGTCTGAATAGCCCGGGCAGGGACGAATTTAAGGAGAGCGACCAGGGCGGTCTTTTATCTATTGGCCTATCTGTCTATAATAACACGCGCACTCGCCAAACGACTGACAGCAGTGCTCCCCCAACTTATCACCTCTGATCAGAGCTACTGTATACCCAACAGAAGCATTCACACCAACCTACACCTTATCCGGGACTCCATAGACTACGTCAACCAACACGATCTCCCACTCGCAGTCATATCGCTAGATCAAGCCTCCGCGTNAAATGAGATTTGCCTGAGGAAAATCACGGAAATTATTATTCGGTTACCATGACACATGTCAGACACTCAGGAATTAAGAAATATTTACATCACAACATTTGACATGATTATATGGATTAATAAAAATGTATCTTACTATTCAATTAAATACCACTCCATGAAGACGTAAGGGGAGTGGATGTATAGCTCCACTTATTGTTAACCTCGGCACAAGATGAAAGTGAGTGGTGAAATTTACGTTCCGTTCATTTTACGTTGGGGAGAAAGCCCCCCGCCCCCCATCTACTCGCGCCGTCGGGGNNAGGGTTAGCCTCGGAGCCGGGCTGGACACCATAGCGAAAAAGAAATACTTGCACCAGGTCGCCGAGTTTCGAACTCCAACCATCCAGCTTGTAACCTAGATACTATAATACCTGAACTATCCTGATAGGCTAAGCACCAAGGGTTAGTATTTTCGAAAATACAGTTTTACTTTCTAATAATAATTAAAATTACGTTTGAAATATTAGAATGTGCACTTCAACAGATACAACCACATGGTCTGCATGCAACAGCTGAGTCAAGCGTGTGGCAAGGCCTACGTAGGTTGACAGAATACTGTTATTGGTTATACTGCATTATAACTCTGCACTTTCTAGTCACACTAGAATACCTCGCAATGGAACTGCTTCGGGCTTACCTGTTGCATAAAGGCGAGATAGAGAAATTCATTTATTTTTCATTGTGAAAGATTTCTTCCGCAAGCACGACATAACACGATACATGGATTTCAAATCCAGAACTGAATAGTAACAGCGTTTGCTGTGTGAAAGTCACGACACTAAATTTAACGTGAGAGATGACGCTTACGTACGTGTATGTAGCTACTGGAATGATGCCACGTTTCTCATTGGTAAGACGTGTACAGGCTAAAAACATTTAGACTGACCTGTACTTCTTGTCTACGTGGTTTAGACTTCCAACAAGAGATAGCAGCAATGTATGTCTCTGAAGTTGGAGTATGTACAGTGTCAAATTCGTCTGTAAGATGGCGCGGACTCTGTGCTTGGAGGATCGAGAGAGTGCAGACGCTTGCTTGCTTGCATGTGTGCGTGTTTTTGTGTGTGTGCGCGTGTGTGTGTGTGTGTGTGTGTGTGTGTGTGTGTGCGCGTGTGTGTGAGAGAGAGAGATATAGAAAGAAAAAGAGAGAGTAAGAGAGAAAGTGAGGGGGGGCTATTTCAAACAAAATGAAAATCAATATATGGACTATAGGAAATATCTAAATTTACAGAAATTTTATACCCTCACAATATATTAGCGGCGTTAAATATGCACTTCACGATCCTTTTTCCAACTGCAGTCGGAATAGCTCAGTCGGCATAGCGACGGGTTACGGGCAGGACGGCTGGAGCTCGAATCCCGACAGGGACATGATTTTTCTCTTCTCCACCTTTTCCTGACCGGTGCTGATGGGCGATTTCCCCAGGAGTAAAGCAGCTTGAGCGTGAAGCTGATTACTCACCTTCATCAGTGCCGAAGTCAAGAATGGTGGAGCTATACCTCCACTCGCCATATTTCTTTACGGCATAGTGCTTAATTAATTAAGTCTGGAACAAATTTATCTTTAGTTTTATTCGCGATTTCTCAGTACCTCAGTACACCTTACATTCATGCACATTTATTAAAGTATTTTGTTCGCTTTAATATTATACTGTTACGTAGTGTTGTTTGACCATAGACAGGGTTTGGATTGGTGACTCTATTTATTGATCACGTATGCACTCACGATTCGTGACTGCACTTTACAAATCACTGACACACACAGACTAACGTCCTCAGTTTATTACAGTCTCTACCCGCAGCTATATTTATGTCAGTGCCATCTATTTTCAGCATCCAGTTCTCAAGCGCCATCAATCCGTGTTATTTCATTACTCGTAATGTGAGAAATCTAGTTTCACACCCATAGAAAACTACAGGAAAAATTACAGTTTTGTATATTTTAATTTTATTTTTTTTATACACCAGACGAGAAGACGAGAGGTTCTGAACTGAATGGTGGAAAGCATTTTTTTTGTCCTTGGCACTACAGCCTCAGTGGGCCTAGGCCCACCTCCATGAACTTCTCTGTTCACTTCGGTTTTTCTAGATCTTACACATTCGGTAGGACTCCTTGGGTGGGTGATCAGCTCGTCGCAAGGCCTCTACCTGTATACAAACACAGAAAAACTCACACACACAAACTAAACATCCATGCCCTGAGTGGGATTCGAACCCACGATCCCGGTTTCCAAGCGAGCGAAGACAGTACATGCCTTAGACCGCTCGGCTACCGTGACCAGCTTTCCTAATATTACTCTAGGTTTAATAAAGTGGTAATTCTCGAATTTTGAGTTCGTCTTTGTGGCTCTCGTGATGTACTAATTGTGTACGTAAACGCTAGTTTTCTTTAATCGACTCTTCGGTTAAGAAATGAGACCTTAACTTACGTATGATCAAGGATTTAATATTTTAGTGAAAAGACATGTAAATACATAGTGAAATATTTCGCTTCCGGTTCCTGTTTTAATTTCTCGTGATTCTGGATATAAGGACAAAGACTTTACGACTGGGTTAGCTAATTTTATTGCATGTCTTTGTATGTGTCTGCATATCGGAAAATTCTCTGAACAAATGATTTCTGGTTGAATGAGATTTCCTTTGTCCCTCGCTGAGCTTGGTTCGGTGTAGGAATATAAAGAAAAAAAAAGTCGAGATTTTAATTTGAAATTGATGTACTATGGCAAGCTCTGAAGATGTGAATCATTGATAACTTCAGACTTAACGAGTTTAAAACGCATTATTAGGGCGTTATATTACCAATTAATCGACCGATGAATTTATTACTGCAAAGCTAATCTACTGGAAACATAAAAGATTAAAGTTATAGTAAAAAACTTCACGATATGATTCAAATGAAGAATATATCATACATCCTCCTCTCCACAAACCACTTCGATATCACACGCGTGTGTAATTATCACATAAGTTAGGCATACTTGTTTTAAATGATTCTATAATAAATCGCAAGAGCTGATCACCCGCCCAAGGAGTCCTACCGAATGTCCAAGATCTAGTAAACCGAAGTGAACGGAGAGTTCATGGAGGTAGGCCTAGGCCCACTGGGGCTGTAGTGCGAAGGGGGGAGGAATAATAAGTCGCAGAAATCTGATTACTAAACCGAACGTACACACCGTCATACTTGTGAAAAAATCAAAGGAGATAGTAAGGGAACAATAGGCATATATACAGATACAACTTAGCTCAAACAGTATGACTTCCATAGCGACAACATTGTTCAAAATTTTCAGGGGCTGATCGAGTATCATGCATACACATATACAGCCATAGAGAGAAATAGAGAGAGAGAGAGAGAGAGAGAGAGAAAGATATTTTAAAGCGTAAAAGTCACTGTTTCCGTTTGGATTAAATTTAAAGATTTAATGCCAATATTTATACCTGGGTAGCTAGGAAATTATTTTAAAATTCAGTTTTTGTAAAGCTAAGAAAATACTCCGTGGTTTCAGTCCGCAAGCTAACTATACCGACAGAGCGACTGAAGCTTGTCGGCGAAGTTTAGTGCCAACTTTTTGCGGATAGAGGGTGTCGCGTGGTCAGCGCAACGAATCCCCACGGCCATTAATTTCGGTTTTCTAGACCGGAGCCGTTATTTCCTTGAAATAGCTCCTCAATTATCCTTAGGAGGATCAGATTAATAACATGGGTTCTAAACTATTGTAATATTATATTACAGTAACCCGTTGCATGGACTATTTGCTTAGTGTCTATTCAGTCTTACTTTTGGCTGTTCAATCTTCGCTCAATAATCAGAGATACCACACTGGCCCGTATAAATTTTTTGTATTGCTAGTGGGGTGGGACTAAGTCCCTTGTACTGCGGCCACTTCTGGCCTACTGTACCAGCCCCAGATGATAGGTGAGGGTGACTGTAGAGCAATTGATGGAATAAAGATTGGCAGGGCAAACCGAAGTACTAGGAGAAAACCTGCCCCAGCGCCACTTTGCCCATCACAAATCCCACTTCGCCAGAGCCGGGATCGAACCCGGGCCGCCGCGATGGGAAGACACTGGCCCATAAGTACACCAAATGTCTACAAACAAAGAGAGCTCCATCCACAATGAACATCAACACACAAGAAACACGAAAAACGAAAACTGCACCAGATACCTACACACGAATTTGCAATGTAGAGTCATAGTCGAAAGAAATCGAAATTTTTACCCACGTAAATTTTAAAAACTTGTAACTAATTTAATATTCTATCTATTAAACTTAAATTAATTTTAATTAATACATTCCAAATGGGGAATTAATATAGTGAAACAATTTAAATTGTTCGATATAACTGATGATAAGGAGGTGAGATATTATAGTCGGTATAGCGACTGGCTACGAGCTGGACGACTGAGGGTTCGGAGTTCGAGTCCAGGTAAGACCAAGACTTTTCTGTTCTTTATGTCGCCCAAACCGGCCCTGGTGCCCATCCAGCCTTCTCTCCAATGGGTACAGGGGGCTTTTTCCACGGGTGTAAAGCGGCAGGGGAGTGAAGCTGACCACTCGCCTCCTGCTAGTGCCGAGGTCAAGGAAATATGGCAATTTGTCAGTAGTCACTGTCATTGAAACTGTAAGAAGGTTGCATTATTAATACTGTGAATACGTATAAGACATAAAACTATTACATGGTTGATGATGTTAATGATAACACAAGTATAAATAACCTATAGATTTCCTCATTACATGTTCGGGTAAAATTGATATTGATACACTGATCGACTCCATTTCCTGCTTCCTCACTGTCGAACACACACAAGAATATCCGAAATCTTCTCGAGAAATTATGGAAAGATAATTATCCATCTACATCGAACCAATGCACAGCGTAGAAAATACCGAGTGTATATACGCCCACAAAAAAAACGCATACCCCATATTTTATGATAATATAACGATACATATCGTGGAATTGCACACCTAATGTACCCCACAGTAACAACCCGTACATCATAGAAACTTGTCTCCGGGCTCTACGAATGGGCTTTCTACGTAGAAAGCTTCTACAACAAAGACCTACAAATGACATAACTTGCCCAATTTCTACACTGTAACATTGGAACCTTAGTACTAAGTTGACATACATATTTCTTAACCTCAAATCCTAAATTTTTTAAATATGTTTTTAAAAATTGAAAATATTTTTAATGTTTCCATAATACATTTAACACTTTATAAATCTTGATATATGGTATACTTTTTATGTTATATCTTTTATCTTATTTTGCGTCTTCTACTTTAATTGTAACATCAATTTGAGGCAAATGTTACCTGTTATTATATGACACGTTGCACTGGTATGGCTTCATATCGGTAATAACTATACGTTTTCCTATATGTAATTGCCTGATGATGGTCTTGTACAATCGAAGTATGTAGCAGGGATAAAAAGTCGGATTGTAAAACATTAAAAAGCGATTATATGTGTTGCGTTGACGGTTAATCTAATATATATATATATATATATATGTATATAAACGTTGATATGATCCATATGCCTTGGATACAGAAGAAACGGAAACACATTTCAAGGTAGTGTTTTACGATATACTGAGGCTGAACTTAAACAGATATATAATTCAAGCAAGCTTTTATCCTATCGCTGTTCGTTTCGTTTGTGCTAACTAAAGATTGATGTTCGTTAATCAGTGTAGCTTGTTGCAACTCATTACGTAACCTGTCTCTGGGATGAAATTTCCAATCCAACAAATACAGCACAGAGAAAATGAGAATAGATGGTAGATAATATTTCGCTTTGTGTACTGACTCCTGAATCATAG